AAATTTCATTCGTCACTTAACCCTCTACTGGTTTCCACCATCAGCAATTGCGATAAGCATGATCTGAAGAATTATTGGTAATGAACAACAATTCAACATTATTATTAACCTGTTTACATTGCTTACAACTTGCAATTATAGTATTTGGACTCTTGAAGATCATTGCCTGTATAAGAAACATAGTATTGGTTCTTTTAAAAATCTGTTTAGTGATGCTAGTATTGTCATGATGAACTTGATATATTGTGGACATTAGGTGCATGCTGGTACTTTTCGCAATGAAATTCATAAAATAGTGTTTTTAAGGCATCCAAATTCTTTATGAGGTCCAAAGTTGATCTTTTTCTGATTTAGTCTCCACTCCGTGTTGGTACTTGACTGTTTAAAACTTATATTGCTGGTTAAAGACAACTCTGCACGGTCTACATGTTTCTGCTTCTTTACTCAATAGTTTTGTAGAACATGCATCATGATTTTTTCATTAGGATGACAGATAATGATGTTGCAAGATCTCAAAATTCTAATGACATGGCTAAGACACATCTTAATCCTTAATATTGTGTAGTGTATATTTATCTCAGATTTTGCAAGGACAAATAATGGATTCAATAATAGCAAGCCTTGGTTTATCATTTTTCTATGTGGGTAATGTATAGACATATATTGTAATCTGGGCAAGCAGTGACATCTTACTTTTTTCTGTTTTTTCATATAAGCTATAATCCATACATTGTGTATTTCTTGACCTTTGAGGCCAACACTTAATCTCATGATTTAGTATTTATTTATTTAATCAAAAGATTTCATTGACCCTACAATACCTTTCTGTTTACATTATCCATCCACATTATTTAGCCTTTTCTTTACCTTTACAAAGACATGAAATATCTACCCCTCACCACCACCTTATTCCTATGCATTTGTTGGAAAAGTTGGAGCCCACTAGATGCACGCCTACTTACATGTGTAATTACATGTATATGTGTACATATCTTCTTACATACACCATAAATGTGTGTATGTGATTTTATTTCTGTGGAGTTTGTTGAGGACATTATGCCTTTTTTTCTTCCAACACTAGAGAATAATAGGGGGGTTTCTTCCAATGGCACTGAAAAAATCTTTGTGGATAATGTGATTACTCTAAATTTCCAAAGTATAGGAAATATATGTTACTTTCAGTATTTCACTACTGCTTCTCCCTACCATCAACGAATTCCCCACGTCACTTACAATTACCCCAAACAATGTGACTTTTACAATGTAGTTCCATCGCCTTCCTGGGACACAGTGAGAGTTGGCGTTTGAAATAATTAGAAGTGGTCTTCATTTTCTATAGTAAAGCTAAGGATTTTATTTTCGTTATTCTTCATCAAAACAATAATAAAGAATTGTACTGGTAACATGCAGGTTTCTTGGAATCTCTATGGAGAGACATAGACATGAACAGACTTCACCAAGGACCGGGTGATGATTTGAACCTGATAATCATATCGCATGGGCTGGCAATACGGGTCTTCCTAATGAAATGGTTCAAGTGGACGGTGAAGCAGTTTGAGCGGTTAGGTAACCTTGGTAATTGTGAGTTTCGGGTGATGCAGCTTGGGATGGGAGGAGAATACAGTCTAGCAGTCCATCACTCTGACGAAGAAATGCAGTCTTGGGGGCTTTGTTCTGATATGATAGAAGACCAAAAATGGAGAGCTAGTGCCACCAGGGGTGATTGGAATGAAAGATGTCCCTGGTACCTCGATGCATTCTTCGACACTTTTGCCGACTCCGAAGATGAAAACGATGACGACGTTGAGATCGAAACTGATGAATGCAGTCTACAGAACACTTCTTGCGATTCTTCTTGATTCCTACATAAGAAGTGGCAGTATGCTACTTACCTCACTTCACCTATGGGTACTAGTGTACTACTGCATTTTTGGAGGTTTCTCTGATTATAGATGATGATGGTAGCGTTTCTTGTAAAGTTAGGTGTAGCTAGCTTTTGTAATTATTAGTTACTAATTAATACTTGGGAAATTATACGCTTTAAATCCCTCAATTGTTCATTGATTCATTGTTACCAAATGTTGATACATATTTTACATGTTAGGTGAACGATCAATATGGTCCTTTATACATGAATGGGTCAAAGATAGCAAAAATCTAATACCAATTATTTTAGGGTAAATGGAAACAAATAATCCACTTTTTTATGGCGGTCTTCTTACAATAGTCTCACCCTTTCATTATTCAGGAATAATCCAACTTTTGCACCTCATCTTCATTCAATGGTTCTTGACCGGTTGATGACCGGCTATTCCAATTTATTTTCTTATCTTTGTAATATTTTTTACCATAAATCCCACCTTATGGTCACATAATGTTTTGCAAAGATGAAAAAATAATTTGGAATAACAGGTCATCAGCCGGTCAATGACCATTGAGTGAAGATGAGGTGCAAAAGTTGGATTATTCTTGAATAATGAAATAATGGACTTTTGTACGTAGACCGCGAAAAGGTTGGACTATAGTTTCCATTTTCCCTTTATTTTAAGTGAATGTGAAGACTTGGTTGATAATGAAAAAGTAGGAATAAAGGCACTTTTAGGCGAGTCGCTGAAAATATATCTAACATGAGAGCACCCCGTTTTATGTTCATGATAAACTTAAAAAGTTAATTGTGTATCATATCATACTTCTTTCTCTACCTCTTGCGTAGTATAATTTTCCTATTTGATTGTAACACGATCTAAAAGAATAAAATTGTGTGGTGTAATTTTTGTTGTTGAAAAGATAGACAATTTCAATCTCATAAATTTTGTGGGAGAAGAATTTGTGGAGCAAGGAAAAAATGTATTTAATTGATGGATTGGGTGTAGTTATGTAAATAATGAAGGCTGTGTAGTGTATTAGGAAGATGATATACTTTGTTAGATTTAGAATACAAATTCCACGAACTTAAAAACATAAGCTAGAACTCAAAAGATATTTTGCATGCTTATCAAATACAAGTACAACTTTTTGTTTTAGATTTTTAGAATTCTAATTGTGAATTGATAAGGAAGAAGAAATCGAGATTCAAGATGATTTTAATTGGACTGCACTTTTCTGATTCGGTAGATGTTTGGTCCATGTGTATTTTATAAATTGAAGGGAATAGATAACAACGTATGACATCCCATTCACGGGGTTCCTAGCACCGGCTGAAAAGTTAATTGTATGAAGAGAATAGATAAGAGGAATACTTATTCTACATACTCTCTTCGTCCCACTAACAATGAGACAAGAGGGAGTGACACACAAAGTGGTTTATGTGGTTCATATTGAATCGATAAAGTAAGAATGATTTAGAGTTATACAAATTTTATTACATTTGGTATGAGGCAATGTTAAAGCATTTGTCCCACACCGGAAAGTTACAAAACAATTAAATATTATATAAGGCTTTGGGCTACTCCTCCATTCAGGTTGATCTTTTAGGATGGAATCTCGGGTCTTAACATGGTATCAGAACCAATTTCGGTTGAGGTTTGACGGCTTGTTTTGCACCCATGATTAAGGGTAGCTTGTTAAGGGTTTGTTTGGCCCGTTTATACACCCCAATATTGTCCACCCGGTTCGGGCTGAGGGGACATGTTAAAGCATTTGCCCCACACTGGAATTAGTCTGGAAAGCTACAAACAATTAAACACTATATAAGGTTTTGAGCTCCTCCTCCTATCAAGGATGGAATCTCGGGTCTTAACAGGCAATCTTAGTGAGACGGACTGAAAAGGTAAAACAGGACAATCTTAGCGGGATGGAGGGAGTACCATTGTCACGTAATTTTTATAAGATGAAAGATGTTCTTAATTATATTGAACTTTTTAATTTGGTCTATTCAAATTGGATACGCTATAGTATTGTCCGAGATGATTGTTGTATGTGTGTATATTACAACTGTTGAAATCTAATCTGATTTGGCTTGCTCTCATTAGATTTGATATGTTAAATTTTATTTGATCTTGATTTGTGACTCAAACCACACTAATTAAAAGCACCCCAAGAAGGAAATAATACAAAGACCCTTCTGCACCGGGAGATGAGATGGTTATTTGGAAGAACTTTTAAAATGTGAATAGAGACTATTTGTTTAATATATATGTGAATATATATTTTGTGTGAATTAGGTAACACAATTTTATTTTCTTAACAAGTGAATAATCTAAATAAAGGTTGGAAAGAGTTGAGAATGGAGAATATGAAAGTCCGATGTCTATTTAATACTGAGTGTATTTTAAACCGGTGAAATCTAATTGATTTGATCAAGTCTGCTTAATTTTAGTTTCATATGGACTAAAATCAATCCAATTAAAAAACTTCTTAACTCATTGACAGATTTATTAGCGATGTGCATTTTGTGAGTTAGTTCAATCTTTTGATATTGTAATAGAAATAAATATTGAACTATTTAATTACATCTAAAAATTATTTATATGGATGTGTCCCCGAAAAGACTATTTTGTTGTGATTTCTAATACATAATAAATTATAAGGAGTAATATGTTTTCTATACTAAAAATTAACATTCTTGAAGTGAGACATGATTAAAATTCATGACCTCCTCGTTGGGGCATCACAATGATGTCATCAGACCCTAACACATTTAAAAAAATGAAAAATATTCAAAAACTTCTAATTACTTAATTTATTAAACAAATAAACATGTCTGGCCATTACTTTTTATTAGTATCATGTTATACACATTGATATGGGAAGTTGATGAATATTTTTTGGTAAAATATGAGACTACATAATTGACAAGTGCCAACGTTGTTGGTTGAATCTTCCAAAAAGAGATACAAACATGAAAAACATCAACCACTTTACCGTTTTGATGATATGATTAATGATGTTTGAAAGGTCAAATGTCATCACAGTGCCACATTTACTTATGTTTTTATTACGGAGTATTTATTATAAATTCAAATTTTTAATTCTTAATTTCCTTGAGAATCATAAGTATTATAGACTTCTTCTTGTTCACTCCCCAGCAAAGAGCCAGCAATAAACCCTCCTTTTCTCTCGCTCCACCCCGGTTTTCTCTCTCTACTACAACTGCTTTGTATCAGCACATTCAATCCATAAAATTCGCCTCCACATTTCGGGATCTGGGTCGTCTTTATTACGAAGTATTCTCTATTTACCCGAACAAGTCATAATTTGCTTATTCTTCTTTCTTTTTCTGAATCTTGACAAGCCACCCAGTCCTGCGTTTCTAGGATTGTGAGCCATTAAGACTTCGATTTAGACATGGCCTTCTCACTAATCTGATCTTGCAGACGAATTAGTCGTGTATGAATAACGCATACCCATACTGCATTTTTTGTGGCGTGTATTAAGAGTCTTTTAATCACTTGGAATCCTCAAATGATTGAGTTTGATGACAAGACGACAGTAAAGTTCTGATCTTTTTACTCAGGTATTGTCATCTGAACTTTGTTTTCTGTGGGATTTTAGGAATAGTAATGATAATTATTGCTTTTTTATTTTTTGGCTTGTAATGCTATTTGAATCTAGCATCTTTGTTCTCTTTTTCTTTTTTAAAGGTTGCTCCCTTTCTTCCTCTTCTTCTTCTTCATCATCATGTTTTATTAGTATTAGAGATTTGATTTGCTATTGGGCGTATATTTTGGAATCATTTTATTTAAGGAGTGTATTATTTATTTCATGGTAATAGTATTATTGGGTGATTAACCGATCCTAATTGATCGGGAGTTTTTGCTGTATAAGAGGAGAATAATAATTCTTACTCCTTATTCATACGCTATTTCATTTTGTACGCAATTTCAGGAGAAACTTTCCCATGGCTCATCCATCAGACCAGAGGTTGTGCAGCCAAGGGGCAGTGAGATGCGTGGTGATATTTGTTTGCTTGTTTCTGGTTTTTTATATGGCAAGGCCCTCAGTCCTCAGGAGATCCAAATTGAGGTCAAGTGGCGGTTTAGATTCATGCCCCCCTTGTTCCTGCGACTGTGAAGAAGATTCAATGTTGCCCTTGCCTCTAGGTCGGTGCGTCTGTAATCACTTTTCTATCCTTTTTGGTCCTTTGATGTGTAAACTCTAGTCTCACAAGTGTTGTAACTTTTTTATTTCAATTTTTAAAATGCTACTCGTATTTGGGATACATGATACTGATGCATGACAGTGTTTGACTGCCTGCTATTTGGATTAAATTTTTATTGTTTTTTCTCCTCCAAAATCCAAACACAATGAATGGCTGTGTGTTTGGATTAAGGAGGAATGTTATAGTAAAGACCATAAGTTTGCTAAAACAGAGAAAAGAAAGGAATTATATAGTATTATCACCATCATCCCACTGTGTTTGGGACATGAGAAGGTAACAATGTAACATGCTTATTTAGGAAAGTGAAGTAATATGGTTGATATTGTATTTGTATGTTTTGAATGACACAAGTATTATCATTACCAAATATGATACGGCAAGCATTGTGGGATGGATAAAATGGGAAAGATTGGGCAAAAGTAGTCGGAAGTGGGAATACATTTTTCTCTTCTTTTACATTAACAGTGGAAACGGGTGGGAAATAATATAAAAAAATCATTTTTTTATTAAATTCATTCCTGTCTTTCCTCTTATGTGATCATTTGGAGTGATGAGTTTTGAGAGGAATTAGAAGCTCGATGCATGAACACTTCATTCCTCTCAATCGAACAAACACGCTTATATGTTTCCCTTGTTTGCAATTTTTCATTTACCATTTTGGTTTTGAGATGTGTTGTGAGTTTACCCATCATAGTTCAGAAGTATATCCCACTACAGTGCTTTCGTTGAACTGCTAGAACGCATGCACATTAAACTTCCCCTCATTTACTCTCGGAAATAAAGACAACAATTATGTTCCCTATTACCACTCCCTCCCCTCAATTGAAAGACACAGTTAGGGAGTTAGTATATTTCACACATTAAACTTTCCTGCATAGCCAAAATGATCATGTTTGTTAATTTATACAAAGTATGTTTTGGATAACTGTGTTTTTTAGGAAAGTTGCCGTGCTTATTAAGTTATTTTTATGTGCCCTTGATCAATCTGTCCATCTGATTATTTACTTGTTTTTTTTTTTTGAGTATTCTCGCGTTTTGCATCCACATTTCCATTGCTAACAATACCTTTTTATGTGTTTTATTTTACAGATTTTCTGAATGGTTCAATTGCAGGTTGGTGCATATGCTTTCTTACTCTTAAAATCAGCATTGAATTTCTTATGGAAACTTTTACTTCCTCCATTCCAAAACGAACTTCACTTTTGCTCTTAGTCAACTCAATTTCATTTTTTTCACTTGAGTGCGGATTTGTTATCATTTTAAATTTGGTTCTTGCTATTCAGTGGAACTTTTAGCCTACATTGTAAATATATAAATTTTAATCACTAACATCTTCTTAAAAATCATCCTAGAAGAGTTAACTATATACATTTATTCTTAGTCAACCTCGTTTACTGTTCTCTGCACATCACTTTGGGATGGAAGGAATAGGGAGAATGTTATTGGGGCTGTTTGTTTTTTGGCGTTTCTGGCCAAAATGATGGCCAGCGTTCACTTTGTTAAAAAAAATGGCATTTCGCCCAACACGCCACTACGCCAGTATCCAAACACAGCCATTATGTATCTTTGTACACCGTCAATTTCACTTTCCTTCCTGAAAAGTGGATCCGACATAGAATCACCAATTTTGGCTTATACATACGAAACTGATATTGATGGTGTGTACGAAGTAATCGGGAAAGCAAAGTGATTATTTGCTTCCAGCAAGGATAAAGACCATTATTACAATATTATTTTTGTTTGTGTGCAGATTGTGCTAAAGACAATCCTGAAATGAATGAGGAAATGAAAAAGGATATCATCACCCTACTATCAGAAGAGATTAACTTGTTGAAGAATGTGACGAGTGACAGCTTGGAACACACAAACACGCTAATTACAGGTGCCAAAAGAGCATCTTCTCACTACCAAAGAGAAGCCGAGAAATGCAATGCAGGGATGGAAACGTGTGAAGAAGCTAGAGAAAGGGCCCAAGCGGCTCTAATAGAAGAGCGCAAGCTCTCTGAACTGTGGGAGACTCGAGCCACGGAATTCGGATGGAAGGATGAGTGAAGTGCCTTGCTGCTATTCATGGAATTTTAGCCTTTTTGAAAATTTTCCCTTTTAGTTTAGAATTTTACTTGCACGTGAACCAGTAGCAGTAACCCATTTTTGTGAATATACGTTGTTGAGTTTTTTTTAGGTCAGGCTTCAAATCAATTTTATTTTAACATCGTTTGATTATTCCATTAAAATAGGAATTAATTCTGTAGGGGGTTTCCCTGTGGTCAAGAATTCTATTATATTATTATACATTACCAGTGGGATATGATATCTCAGTATTGTGAGATGATATGTATGATATCCAATAACGTTTAAACTAATCCAGTTTACTTCTGCTATCATCTATATATTCCAGTTCCCTTATTTTTGGTGGAATCATTGTTTTTGGTGTTCCACACTTCCACGTTATTAGATTCATTTATTTTATGTTTAGTCAATGTGAGATTAGCTCTTCAACAAACCATTATTCAATGTATGTTTAGAAACTAACCAACCAAATGTAAGCAGTGAAAAGAGAACATAGGTGCAAGGGGATTCAAAACCCAATGTAATTATTCTGTTGAGCCAAACAGTGATAGACCCGAGTCCATAGAGGTGCCACACTTCGGGAGTGTTTGCAACTGCTTCTGCTTAAAAAAAAGCACTTTTGGAGATGTAAGGAAAAAGTGATTAGTAGGAAAAGTTGATAGTGTTTGAGAAAAAAGTGATTTTGAAAAGTAAAAGTTGATAGTGTTTGGTAAAATAAGTGCTTTTTGTGTAATAGAAAGGGGAAAAGCACTTTTCACACGCAAGCCGAGAAAAAGTAAAAATTGGTAGTGTTTGGTAAATAAGTGCTTTTTTAAACCAAAAGCTGAGAAGTGCTTTTTTTTAAGTGATTGCAAACACTCCCTTATACCAGAGGGTATAAAATATATCAAACCAAATATATACCACCGTCTAAAACCGCGAAGCCTGAAGCAACCCCACCCTCGTTTGAAGAAGAGACCTTTGTTCTCATCAGGTAACCAGATTGCTCATTTATTATTACCTTTGTTTTATTCCTGCACAATTATTTCAGAGGTAATTATGGGACCCAAAGTACTGCAACTGAAAAATATGAACAATATACTGTGTGGGCATGTCTGTTTGGTATCTCATATTTTCTGCTATTCACTGTTAATTGTATTGATTTAAGAGCTGGGGAGCTTCAGGAGAAATTAGAGACCTACTATCTATTATATATATACCTTAAATAAGCACCATATATCCCAAGTTCGGATACACTTGCTCTTTGTGAGGGATACCATCTCGCATTAGGATTGCTTTAGACAAAGTAGGAAAAATTCTTGCATGAGGATGTAAGCTGCCTCATTTCCACTCCCTTCCTTCTGCAACTTCTGAAGACTTTCTTTTACATCATCACCATAAATATTGTTTCCTGAAGTGTGATAGATACACATATAGCATATGGAGTGTCAGCAAGATGCTTGTACTACTAGTACTAGTAGTAGTAATGATTGAAGTATAATAACAACCTCCGCCTTCTCGTTGAGGCTTCATAACATATAATTCAGGCCTTTGAATCGCATCCTTTATCACATCAGACTCATCAAGGCTCCACAAGCCTGCAAAGCATTTTCGCAATTTGGAAATGTCGTCTTCACTGTCAAGAAACCTGCTCCAAAACCCAAGGAGAAAGTGAAGGGGGAGTCAATTTAGAATAGTATTTTCAAACCGAATGAGTGAATGTTATTGACTACGGCCTTTCAAATTTAGTTGCACTTAGAGGGTTTTCATGGAATCTATGAGCAAAATTTTAGGACTAGTTAAAAGTGTAGAAATAGTATTAAATAGAAGATAAAAGGCAAGGCTACTTCTGTTGGTTTTTATATGATGGTAGTTGCCAAAAATGGAAAGTAAAGCAAGTAATAGTAAACTTCCCTAAAAGGAAAGTGGATCAACTAAAAGTGAACTGGAGGTAGTACTTTGAGACATAATGTGATGCAAATAAATGATTGAGTATATAATAACACCTCTCAAGTACATTCGGCTTTGCGAGCTCCTGTTGAACTTTCTTGGTACCTGCCAAGTGATAAGCTATTGAAGGGCACTTAATCGCACTGGACTGCTCTATAAGATGCCTTGCTCTCCATTCCTACATATGTGAAATATAAACCAAGATTTAACCAAAGATTTGCCAAGTTGGTATACCATGTCAAAACCAAACAAAATGCTCTAAATAGAACATCATAAAATACAATGGTGAATTGATGATTTTAATTAACACAAAATGTAGAACAAGATTCAAATTGAGATGCCATATTGTTTCACACCATTAACTAAAATTATGGGAGAAGGTACAAATATGTCCCTATATACCACAAAACAAATATACCCATCAACGTTCTTTAGGAACAAATAAACACAAAAGTTATTAAGGGGGTGTTTGGAACTGATTCTGCTTCCGCTTCTTTTTTAAAGTAGAAGCAGAATCAGAATCAGTTTTCAGAAGCTGGTACCTACCAGCTTCTAAAAAAACTGATTCTGAGAGTAAATTAGAGCACCAGAAGTGCTTCTGGAATTTCACCCAAACACTCCAGCTTCTGCTTCTGCTCCTTGAAGCAGCAGAATCAATTTTGAGAATCAGATCCAAACACTCCTGAGAATCAGGAGTGTTTGCAGTTGATTAAAAAAAGCACTTTTCAGCTTTTGGCTTAAAAAAAGTTAAAAAGAGTGTTTTCAAATGACAGCTTCTGCTTAAATTAATCACTTAAAAGCTAAAAGCTGGAAGCAGGTGGGAGGGTGCTTTAAACTGCTTTTCACTTTTTCTATTACACAAAAAGTACTTATTTTACCAAACACTGCCAACTTTTACTTTTTCAGAATCACTTTTTTCTCAAACACTACCAACTTTTACTATTAATCACTTTTTCCCAAATCACTTTAAAAAATCACTTTTTTAAAGTTGAAGCAATTGCAAACACTCCCTAAGTTGGAACAAGTATACCCTTGAACTATATATTAGAGAACATATATATACTGTTTAAATCCAATAGTTGAAGGTTATATATATTCTTTTAATACACACACACATATCAAGGGTATATTTGTTTACACTTCACCATTTTTTTTGTTATTTGTTCCAAATGACAATCTCGGTATTTATTTGTTCTATGAGTCACAGTATAATTTAAGGGTATATTTGTTCCGCATCTCCTAAAAATTGTCGATAATCTATATTTCACGAAAATGAGCAATCATAAGTAAAAAAAATATCATCATTATCATTATCATTACCCCAGTGCCGCAAAGGCTCCCACCAATGATGGGGTAAGGGGGTCGGATGTACGCAGTCTTACCCCTGTGCTATAGCACAAAGAGACTGTTTTCGAATCATAAGTAAAAAAAATCTAAATATAAAATTACATTCGGATGTATTACGTAAATTGCCATAACATTTGGCTCACATAGATAAAGGGCAAAGCACTTACAGATTCTGAGTCATAATCACCCGGAGCATATCCTGCTCTAAAGTAAACAACTGCATTGACTTGACCATCTCTGCGATTTCAAAGAAGAAAAAAGTGTGCATCGACCATAAAATGGTAACCAAATGGTATAACATTAATGTTGAACTATTGTGAGGTCACATACACGACAAGTGTACCATCTGGTAAAAGCTTTCCTAGTGCATCAATTTCTGCCAGTGTCTTTCGAATAGTTGTCAGTTGATGTGTGTTACTATGCTAAGGAAACATGTATCAATATATTGGAGAGAGAGAATGTATACAATAGAAAACAGTTAAATAATGCATAAAAAGCGATTCACAGCATTCATGAAGAATAGCTTTTACAGAATTTGTTAAGGATAATTTTCTTTCAACACTGAAGAAATCCAATTAATGCTGATCATACATGTTGCGCTCTTCAGTTTGAACCACAAACATAACCACAGCCCTGCACTTTTTATAGTCAGGTTAGCTATACAACGTGAAGTTATTGTGAAATTTTCAAGACATGGACATAATTATCCACCTGGGGTTGTTGTATTCATTCCATGCTTTAGATAGTGCTTCAGCAAATTTAATCACTGCACTGTTTTTAGGGATCCGGTCAGGATCTAATGCAAGATGTTGCCTATTCTGCTGAATTAAACTCCTGCAATTTGAAATTAAAGCACCCATTGCATCTTTTCCCTGAGAAAGTTGACACACCCTTTATCCCATATTCCCATATAAGAGGTTTCCATTTTCTTTTACAATTGTTGGCTCATAATAAAGTTAATTTGCTCTTAATAACATTTAAATTCGTAGTACTCTGTCATAATTAAAATATACTCCATAAATATTTAGCAACTACACTAAGTCACTAAGAGTTCTGTTAAACCGCAAAAACCGAATTCCAATATGGTAAATGTTTGTTATATAAAATCAGATATTAAAAGAAGGTTAATTTGACTGCACATATAGTGTATGAGAACCTTATTCTGAACAGATGGAGTACTAATTAAAGAACCATTTTATAAAGGATCCTCCTCCTAGTAACCCACAAACCTAAAAGGGTTAAACAATCAATCTTTCAACCCTATATGTTTTCAATATAGAAGCTTCAAATAATTTCAAAGAACTTGTTCATTTCCTGATACATTCTACTGCATCAGGTTTTGCTTCAGAAATAGGCGCTTCTTTGCAATCTTCTTCTTTTTTTGGGCAAGTGGAAGGATGTTCGTTTAGGCTGCATCTCTATAAAGTTATAGAAATATCAACTCAAATATAAGTAGAGCTTCACCTGTGAAGCTCACTGACAAGACAACTCAGTCCAGGAAATGATGAAGAAATTGTATTTAGCTCTATTTGCAAGAGTAATTTAGTTTGTTCGTCCAGCATATAATCCGAACGATGTAAACCCAAGCGTATTTCCTACATTGATAGTCAAGTCAACTTTTGTATCTTTTCACAATAAAAACATTCTTTCATCAGCAATCAATGTTAGAAATGCTTTCTGACCATTTAAGAAGAGATTCTTAGTTTCAAGTATGCAGCAGTAAGACATAGCACACCGCAGCAATAAGAAAAAAAAAGGAATACAACCAGATCCTCCTAACCTTAATTTCATTTAGGTAATAATGACAAGTGACAAACAGAAGAATGCCATAAGTTGAACACAAACGCTTACATGACTGACAGAGCTATGCTTGTTCAAATTACATCACAACCACAACAGGATGAACACTTGAATACCTCTTTTTTATTCATCTCTAACATTTTGGAATGAATAACTAGGAGTCTGGATGTGAAATCATCAACTTTCTTTGTTCTGCAAAACAGGGAAAAAGCATTCAGCATTAGCACATTGTAAATAAGTATATCGAACTGTATATCATGGTAGATTGCAAGTCATCAGAAGTAGAAAAAGAACAGATCTTAGCAAAATTTTATTTGTATAATGGACTTCTAGTATACTGTATATATATTTAAAAAAAAAAGAAATTTGTGGGGTGGATACATGCCTTCTCTTCCTAGAGGACAGATGAGCAGTGCTTTCCACCATGCATTACACAAAATAGTTACAGCGCAAACATATAATGAGAAAACACATGCAGTGAGGAACTATTAGGGGCTGTTGGATAGAAACAAGTCGATAGAATCATAGAATGCCATGACATATCGATCGTGTAAAACATCATATAATAAGAACACATGTTTGTGTGAACAACCATATTTATACAAGAAAACAAACATAATTAACCTGGAGAGTGATTCCTGCAGAAATTCTCCAACCTGACTCACGCGATCAACAAGTTCATTAAAAATAGGAGCAACTTCACAAGCTTGTTTCCAATGGCTTTCAGGAAATGAAGTGGGTAACAGAGAAAATGGGGCTTGAATGTGGCAAGCTTGGTTACGGCAAATTGCTCTGTTGAATGTGGAATCCCTTATTTCTTCTTGTATTGAAATAGGTGGTCTGCGGTCGCATTCTGCATGTCCCAGAAAGTCGTCTAAAAAATATAATCGAATCGTATGATGGGTCTAAGCCGTGGGAGGCATCTGAGTAAGCCTATAAAAGTGATGGAATAAGGGGTTGTTTCTCAGTAGAAAGGGGTTTTTACTTCTGGGCATAAGCTCTTTAGACTTCAAAGTTGAATATAAGTTTGGAAATGGAAGTCATTTCAACAGGTGAAGTCTGAGCTCCGAATGCATAGGTTCATCCTACACTAACTGAGGTTTTCCAACAAAATTAGAAATAATACCCAAAAATTTTAATAGGCTGGTTGTTTTGGATCCATAGGAATAATGATAGAGCTCCGTTTTTCCTTCGCAATCATCAGGCAACATTCTGAGTTGATATATTCTGTAGAAACCGTGATCGAGCCGAATTTCCTTTACTGCCTAAATTTTGAGTGGTCAGTACTTGTGAATTGGGAGATAAACTGGATGATTGGAGGGACAAGATCAAGATTGAGGTTAATCTTGTGGAGTAAAGATTTTTTTATTTAAAAGATCACAAAATCACTGTTTCGAATTGCGAACTTATAGAGTTTAGAATCAATTTTAATTGAATCAAACCCTTCCTCTCCCAAAAAAATACTTTGTCTGTATTGTTTGTTTCTTCTTCCAAATGTTTACAATTTTCAATCCGGCCTTCAATACATCGCCTACTGATTGTTGAGGTAGAAAGTGTTGTTTTAGTAGTTAACCATGCAGGAACCATCAACAGAATCAACAAGCTGTGGAAAGTCCTGGTGGAAGAATTTAATAATGTTATTGATACAAATGTAAAAGGAGTAGCAAATATGCTGCGTCACTTCATACCAGAACTCCAGAAGCAACAAGAGGGAGTTATTTTTAATTTGTCTTCTCGGTGGACAACAAGGAGGAGTTTTTTTTGGATGAAATGTAAATGTATTGATGGATAGTGTACCCGAGAGGTAGCTTATCCGAGGAGTTATTATGAGAATAACCTAGAGAGAAGTCAGAGCAAGCAGGTAGAAGAGAGAGTCGATTGTATTAAATGAACTCTGCGTGCTTTACAAAGAGAATAAGGGCTGCTATTTATAGCTGCCATAAATGCGATGAGGGTACACGTGTCAACAATATGACGGCCGAGGGTCACCTCGATCAGGGTGGCAACGACAAAGGCATGTGCACCACATTAAATGCGGTGGTTGGACGTGACGCCGCATTGAATGCGGTGGTTGCTTGTCTCTAGAGGAAGCTTCGTGGAGCGTAGATCTCGCGGCCAGTAGCGTATGGCCGAAGGGTGATGGGTAGCCGAAGGCACCATGTGTGTGCCGAAGGCTCCTGGTAGCCGAGGACTACTGTTTTACGTCGTGTTCTCCCAGTAGCTTTGTACGCTCAAATCTGGCTGCCCTGTGTAATTTGGAGCCCTCGACCAAGGAGGCCGAAGGCACCCCTATGTGTGTTGTGGGCTTCCTGACACTTGGGCCGTTGTATTTGGGCTCTGGGCGTGTATTGGGCCCATTGGGCCTGTGTAGGAGAAGTAGGAGTCTGTGGGCCGGGGGTTCCTGGGCCATATACTCCATCATGTATATTAACACCCACGCAAAATCAACAAGTACAATGTGTCCCCCCCCCCTCCTATTTCATGAGAAAAGGAGAGGGTGAAGAGAGGCTAAGCATCTAGTCTAAGTCAAAGCGGCCAATAAGCAAGAATATGCGGCCGGTAAGTCCAAAAAAGTCAAAACTATGAATGGCGATGCAAGGGTGCACGTGCACTAATCCCATCTATAGCCTCTGCCGTGGCATCCAAAAAACTGGACTCCACGTCAAAAGTTTATCAAGTCATGTGGGTAGATACTAAAGAGTATCTTGTAGACCACATGTTTTATCTTAGCAACAACATCATCTTCAGTCTTCTTGCCTTCATCAAATCTCGTCTCATTCCTAACTTGCCAAATATAATAGGCCGCAGCACAAAAAGCAAGCCTCCCCGCCTTGGCTTTCATCGTTGCTCCTTTGCGCGTCTTGGAAATACATTTGATTGCACTAAGGAGTGTAGTCATCTGATGCCCAAAACCGATCCATGCCCTAACCTTTTGCCATACCCTGCACGTAAAAGGGCAAAGAAAGAAAAGGTGTGGAATTGTTTCCAATCCACCCTTGCACAGATCACATCTATTTACGATATGGAGGTAAGTGAGGCTATCATGTGTAGGAAGCCGATTCCTAAAGGCCAACCATGCGTTGAAAGAGAATTTTGGAGGAATGTAGGATTTCCAAATGAAGCTCATCGGAGTCCTAGGGGTCCCTTTTACTCTTAGGAGTTCATACACTTTCCCCGACACCAATTTGCCATTAATGCATCTCACATTAAGACCCATTAAGGTTTCATTTAGGTTGTTAAAACACCCTCGAATTTTATCTCGAATTACACCCCGTCTCTTTATGAGTTGCGAGTCCCGGCTGTGTGGGAGGAGTTATTTTTAATTTGTCTTCTGGGTGGACAACGTGTACCTTTTGCTTTATTATCCTCATCTTGAATGAAGGGTTGTAGAAGTAAAGGTGTGGTGCTTAGCCTATACCTTGATAAATAGATTGTTCCTAAATTGAATGTATAGGTGTGTCCCCAACATAGAATTTGAAAGATTTTTTAAAATTCATAAGAGTTTAAATTTAATTTGAAATCCATTGTTTATATCAAATTTAATTACAATTTTATGAAGTTCATGAGAATTCGAAGACATGTGACCGGATTTTGTTAAGAACGCATATAATATTTTTAGCTTAGAAATCCATAAATGCCACTGGAATCCATATAATACATAAAACAAAAAAAACTGTTTGTACCCACTCATATCATATCCACTTTTGTACTCATCATGTTTGTGAGAAGTTTTTTTTTTGTGAATCCGATCACAGACAAAATATGTCTATGCAAATATTTTGTCTGTGCATTGGATTCACAGACAAAAAAACTCTTCACAGGCATGATAGATATAAAATGTGTACAAATGGGTGTGCAAGAAGAAGTTCTCTGCATAAAAATCCATCACAACTTGTGTCAACACTCAACATTGATTCTAAATTCGGACTTCACCTATACTTCTCTTACGGTCTTACCTACAGATATATTTATCTATAATTGGTTTACAGAGAGATATTGGTGGATAATTTATTAACATCTTGAGGGGATATATATGGAAAAAGCCAAGTTACGGTTCTCACTTATCTATAATCGGTTTCGAAGTTTTGTTCTCCAAATTATGAATATGAAAATTACAAATGTAAATGCTCACATCGTATTCACCCTATTCATTTCCTTTCATAAAATTGAATTTCAATGTATTATATTCTACGGAGTATAATAATTTTGAATCTATAAACTTACGTGTTTGGTAAAAAAAATTGTCAATCAGGCTGATAAGTTGAGAATGGTGTTGCCAAATGGGATCTATATTTCAATATATTTTATAATAAAATAACAAAAATATTCTATGAAAAATTAGTTAAAATGATCATCTACAGTAATTTTAGCAAATTCTGCCAGAAAATCAAATCTTACTTATTTTGATTAATATAATATTCAATGCGCGAAATTAAAAGTTAGTCTCACTTTTGAGACTGGTAGGTCAAGCCCATTTTTTTGGTAGTAGAATATTGTAAAGAAATTTAAAAAGGGGAGAGTCCATTTAAAAGCTAAATAAAAGTGGGAAGTGATGAGGATATGGAGGGGAATAACGGGACCAATGGGTGAATCAAAATAGATTTGGAATCGCGATTTGTCCATCCCTAATTGGAATATATGCTTTTTTGTTTCAAATATATTTATGAAAATAACTTCTTAGTTGCTAATATTAGATATTCTTTTTTGTTACTACTTCTGGGAAA